GTCCCTCAGGCATACTGAAACTAGATAGTCTTCTCTGTGCAGCAGTGAAAGTACCTAGTCAGTAAGGAAGGAACCAAATGAGCCTCCCACGGCAGAAAGCAGCAAAACTGAGAAGGCATTGTCTTACCTTCCCACCAACTATACTTCTGAAAATGGATGGAGGGATTCTTAGGATTGTACAGAAAGATGCTGCATTTTTAATAATTAGATCCTAAGCAATTTGAGGCTGTAAACTTTGAAACAAGAACTTTCTACACAACTGGGGAGCCAATCAAAACAGAACAAAATTAGAATCATATTTTCTGTATACTTAGCTCCTGGTTAGCACTTTAACTTCAGTGTGTGGCTGCTGAAGCTTCCCAAATCTCTTGGAGTAATCTAATCTGAAAGGGATAGGCAAATGGCAGGGGACAGATACCTTCAGATTCAATACCACATATTGTCCATCAAGAAATAAATGCCCTCTCCATTTTATGATAATCATCTTTGTGTAGCATGTTAACTGAAGGGGGGCGATAGTCTATTTGTGCATCGGTGGCAGATACTCAGAAGGCACCTTCAGTCCAGGAGCTTCTAGTGCTCTTTCTGCAGGCTTCATATAATTTGGGGGGGGGGGGGGGGCAGCCTAAGGAGGGAGCAAAGGGAATGAAATGAAACCTGCCTTGGTTTAAGATACCTACTACCACCAAGCACAATCCCTGCTTGCATGGCTATCATGTATGATATTGTTGAACAGTGTGGGTAGCTATTTGAACAACTCCAAATCATGTATTGCTGCCAACTGGCATATCACTTTGGTTGAACTTAGGAACTTTTCCAGTCTTTGCCATTGGAAAATAGAGTAATATTTTCACTTCACTAGAAATTTGGCATCCTTTCCTCTGCCCATTTTCCTTCTAACTTCTCTCTCCATCCCACTAATCTGCAGTATTATGCTCCTTGTTCTCCAGTTCATTTTGTTAGGGTGGTTCTGCTTCTTTATCTCTTGGGAAAATGGGATGTCATTAGCCACACTTTTACTATGTTGTAGAATTCTATTTCACCATAGTGTTTCATGTTCTATGTAATAATGTATGTGCGCATGCTCTTTAGCCGAGGAACTTTAGTTGTGACCAAAGTTTGTTCGATTATGCTCAACAATGGAAAACTGAGATCCTTACCCCATATTAATTTAGTATTCAATACTACTAAATGAGGTTTTGATTATTGTATTATGTATTTTGATGTAAGAATTTTAATTGCATCAGTAGTATATTATCCTTAATCCCAATTATCATCTTTCCATTGTTTGCTTTCTGCTATGGAAGCCTCTTTAAGCCTGTAAGCTCCTATCTCTTCAACTCATTGTGTTATCTCCAATTTAGTGCTAAACAGATATCATCATCATTGCTGTTTATTTATATAGCACCATCAAATGTAAAATGACACGTTACAATACATCAAGCAAGAACAACGAGTCTGTCAAAGGTATACAATACTAGTAACAAAAGAGATGTCAAAAGCAGTGACTACATAATGCAGAAGTATTCCAGCGCTGAGTGCAGAAATGTGGCTAGTACATTTCTAGCCCTTCATATCGTAAACCTGACGAAGGGACAAGTCTCATTAAACATAATAGAATTTCCTTCAGAGGAAAAAATATTTAAGATTGTAACATTGATGATACAGGATCAAATCTGTAAAGCACAAGTCATTTGGAGAAGGAAAATACAATATTATACAACATGCTAAAGTTCTAAACTAATAAAAATAATAAAAAAGAAAAGAAGAGAAGAGAAAGAGGGGAAAGGGGAGAAAGAAAAAGGTTGTTGACTTCCATTCTTTCTCCTTTTGCCCTTTAAAGTCTCGCATCACTATAAATCCAAAAAATAAAATATTTTCCCTCAATTTTATAGACAGTTTATCGTTGATCTTCTTATTTACCATCCTTGCTTGTGTAATTCTCAAAGCTACTTTAAAAATACACAAGCAAAAACACAACAAGTTCAGAGATCACAGACAAAACAGGCCCAAAACAGCAAGTACTGTGAATATTGCGGTCCTCAAATCCCTTTCCTGTTTCCTTGCCTTTGATCAAGAGCTGTTGGAACAACATTTCCACACATATCTTGCCCCATATTGCAAAAGGTGAACAGAGTGACGGCATGACAATGATCTAGGCAAAACACTTCAGTTTGCATATTCTACTCATACCACTGTATTTGCTACATGTTAATGGAAGAGGCACAAAATGAGATTAAAAAATGAAAGTAACTAATTTCTGATCTCATCTAATCCGTGCCAGATTTATGTGCAAACAAAAAAATTACAGTTTCAACCTCAGATTGCACTGCATCATGAAATGCCCCAAATTTCTCAGGCTAATACATATTTTAGAGTAATGACATAAGGATTCTTAAACTTGACACAGTTTAGGGACTCAGGATGTCTTTATCTGGCCTTGTTCCTGATCTCATGTAGTAGGATCTAAAAAGATTAATGACACCTTTATGTTAAGACTTTTATAAACATCCACTGTTTAGCATGCTGTCTCCTCCAACCAGATACCTCCAAATGTATTAAACTACAATTCCCAGAATCTCTTCGTTTATTACAAGTTATGGTCCAATATATCTAAAGTGAATTAGACAGAGGGAGGGTGCTTTAACTAGAGAAAAGATTAACACTGCCCTAAGGAGATATGAGGTTTTTTAATGTACATATAAAATGGCTGACTCATACATGGCTCACAGCCAGATAAACGCTTGCAAAATTGTTTCCTGACTCTGCCCATGAAGTGACCACAGAGAACTTAAAAGGAAAGCCAAGTGGTGAAGGAAGTTCTTACTGAACAATTAGCTACATTTAAAAGAAGAAGAAGGCAGCAAGCATAGGATATGATGACTAGAAGGAACAACTATCAAATTTAATCCAAAATTATTTTTGTTCATGTATCTATTTTCATTATTAGTTGTTTTTGTGCTTTACAGATCCTTTGAACTAGGAATATAAAATCTCTCAATTACCAACAATTTAGCAATCATTTCCTGTAGAACCAAGGCTGAATGAGTATATAGTGAGCCATTCACTTTTGTGGGGCAAGATCACAGCAAAAGTGGGAAAAAACATTAATTTTTAAAATGCAATTTAAATATATATCTCTAGGAATATCTAGATCAGTGGTTCCTGACTTGTGGTCTGTGGACCACCAGTGGTCCACAAGAACTAAAATATGGTATGCGGCCACACCATTACTACCCCGTTGCAACGAGAGCAGCTGGTCTTGCGAAACCCTCTTATAGTGCCAAGGCAACAGGGATGTCATGAGAGAAGAGTCTGACTACCCATGAAAGGTGCAACAACAAGCCTCCTGGCTGCTGCTTCTCCTCCTCCTGAGCTATTCCATGTGGCACTTGGAAGTGGGGGTGCCTTGGTGTCTTTGTTTTTAGGCCTGTTCCTGGGATTATTTGGGGTACTGATTCAAAAAATCAACTCTAGATTATTGCATTGGAAAAACCATATCAACTCTAGATTATTAAATATGGTTTTCTGTGGGAGAGCAGATGGCGACTACTGGATGGCATATTTTCTGTATCAGAAACTAGAGCTGATGTGGTATATCCAATGCAATTTTCTGAATCAGCACCCCAAATAACCAAGCCTAATCTAAAGTTGACCAAAAATTGATTCGTAACCCTTTTGATGCTAATGTTGGAGATATATTTCTGCTCAAAGTGGTCCCTGGTCAAAAAATGTTTGGGAACCACTGATCTAGACCCTCCAGTGGGATTCTATGGACAATTCCTCCAGAAGCTGACTATAGAGGTGCCCTGGAGAATCTAGAGATTCCTAATGAGAAGATATTAATCAAATCCACAAAAGTTAAACTCACAAGAGCTGACTGTACATTCACAACATTTTTGACAAGATCTTACCAAAACTGAAACTTCACATATCCACCATAATTTAATTCATAAATTTAGGGTGTTTACTTTAAGAGGATAACACCAGAGCTTCTGTGTGTATAGCCCAATCCACTGCATATTTATTCAGTAAGTCCCTTGGATTTATATAATTACATCCTCCAATAAACTTTGTGCCATCTGTTTTATTATACCTGACAAGCACCAAACATCTGCACTGTAAATCCATCATTTGCATTGTAAAACCAGTTTAATGCTAGAGACCACAACATAGCAAATATTAAGTATAATAAATGTAAATGATGCTTAAATTTTCCTCACTGCAGTGGAATAGTTACACAGCACTGAAAAGCAACTACCACTGTGTTTAGCTGAGCTCAGGTAAGTGGATGTAAGAGGGCAGCCTTAAATTTGTGCTGAAGTTTCTGTTCAAAATTGTCATCTCTTACAACTGCAATTCTGTTCCTACCTCTTCAGAGGTAAACTTCATTGACATGAATTCACTTACTTCAGAGTAGTAATGCAAGGAATTGTATCATAACACATTTATTTTTGCTAGAGCTATTAATTTAATTTGTTTCTGAGGAAGGAAGAAGAAATGTAGTCATCTAACAATGTGTTAATAGGTTTCACTTTTAAAAATTGTGTTTAAAAAAAGATGTAAAATCTAATTTGTTATTTTTACTCCACAGCAGTGTGTTTATATTATCATTTGGATAATTATATCACTTTCATAGAGTAAGTGTTCTTGTGTTAGGCTAGATCTAGATTCTTTGTTAGTCCATTAAATGCTTCCTCGTACAGAAAAAGACAAAATGTCCTCTGTGATGAGAAATTGAAAATTGTAAACTGAATGTTGGATCTTGTAAAAATAATGGCAGGCCAGCGCTGCTACCAATTACAATAAAGGGAGATTCTTTACTGCTGCTACTACTACTAGTAGCGACAGGTATGGCCCTGCCAAGGTCGTGAGGGACAAGAGACACACACGCCCTCACACACAAGCAGGACAGTGGGATGCTACCACTGTATATTATATTTTTCTTTGCTTCCACCAAATATTTAATAAGATTACTTTTGCTTTATATTGCTTTATAGGTCACCTCCTTGCCAGAATGTTTAAGAGCGGTTCCAGACAGCACTTTATCACGGGCTTTAGTGAAGGGCAAAAAGTCCAGGGACTTCAGGAGATGTCCACATACACACCTGTTGGTTCTGGGATTTCTGCCTCTGCTGTCCAGACGTCATGCTTTGTCTCAAGATAGTGCCAAGGTAACTAGAGGCTCCCAAGATGGCTGCCAGAGGCAGGACTTCTGCTGGAAACTGGCAGTTTTTTTAAAAACCATTGTGGGTTGCGGATATATGGATATGTGGACGTTCAGATATATGGTGAACCACAAAAATTCCATCGTTTGTCCTGGCCTCAAAAACAATTCCCTTCAGACGTTTCATGAAGTTTCTCTCGCACTTACAAACCTCATGGGGTAAAAACACTACTGCCCGAGTCAGCAGTACACAAACAGGTACACACATTTTAAAGCCAGAAACAGAACTTTGTAATTATCTACTATTTTTAGAGCCTGGCTACCTGGCCATCTGGCCAGACAGATTTGATTGTATACTTGTGGCATCCAACAACAGGGTTTTATTCAACTTTCAATATTGGAGGATACGGTGTCTTTTGGGTTGCTCCAACAGAGCTACCTGTATTTTTGGCACTTTCCCCCATCTAATGGGGCAGGGCATCAGCCTGCGTTCTCCTGATTCCCCCGTGAAATGCAGGAGGGAGGGAAGGCACATAGGTTGCCGCAAGTCACCACACGTGCCTTCTTGAATAGCAGAGAGGGGGCATCAATCTGATGAAGACCTTTAACTTCCCTATCAATACTCTATATAATCCTGGAGTTTGCATTTTAGAAAAGGCATTTAACATTTTCAACCAGAGAGCTCTTGGTCCACACTAAATTCCATAATTCCTGAGGATGTTGTCATGGAAGTTAAAATGGAATATAGTTCTACTAACTGTCCCCTGCCACGCGTTGCTGTGGTCCAGTCTGTTGATCTGAAAAATAAAGTAATGAAAAAGTGTTGGTTTCTAATATATGTAATTTCTTTATGCTTGTGGGTAAACAGTATTTATTAGCTGTTTCTTTGCCAGTGTTGGTGTCTGGTTTGCCTACTCTGGAACATGCAACATAGAAATGTCCTTCTTTAGGGGTCTCTTTCCAATCTATGATACTATATCTCTCTGTCTGTGAATCATATCTATCTATCTATCTATATCTATATCTTTATCTATGGCTGGATGGCTCTTTGTCAGGAGGACTTTGATTATGTTTTCTTGCCCTGATGAAGGAAGTTGGATTGGATGGCCTTAAGTATTTTCTGTTGGTCAAGGGGGTTCAGTGTGGGAAGTTTGCCCTGATTCTGTCATTTGTGGGGTTCAAAATGCTCTTTGATTGTAGGTGAACTGTGAATCCCAGTGACTACGACTCCCAAATGTCAAGGTCTATTTCCCCCAAACTCCATCTGTGTTCATATTTGGACGTATTGAGTGCTTGTACCAAGTTTGGTCCAGATCCATCATAGTTTGAATCCATGGTGCTCTCTGGATGTAGGTGAACTACAACTCCCAAACTCAAGGTCAATGCCCACCAAAACCCTTCCGGTATTTTCTGTTGGTCATGGGAGTTCTGTGTGCCAACTTTGGTTTAATTCCATCGTTGATGGAGTTCAGAATGCTCTTTGATTGTAGGTGAACTGTAAATCCCAGCAACTACAACTCCCAAATGACAAAATCATAATTTTTTGAGTGATGGTCACTCCTTGTATTGTGAGATGTTTTGTTGCCAAATTTGATGGGATTTCGTTCATTGGTTCTTTTGTTTTTAAGGTACTAATTATGCACAGAGCATTTTTTTATATATAGATAAAACTGTAGCAGGATAACCTGGGGGATTGCACTAGTTTATAAACTGCTCTAAGATTTTACTCAATAGGAAAGTGAAGTAAAAAATTGCTTATGTAAATAAGAATTCTAAACCACTAGATTAAAACCAGGACTTCTATTTAAAGAAGTCATGCTAGTTCTGTTTAATAATTCTATCTTCAATTCTGCTTTTTTACCCCAGCTGCCTAGGGCAAAATATTATCCTAATACATCTGTAATTTCATAGCTCCTCCCTGGTCCTTTAAAAAAAAAAAAGCTATGCTCCAAATCCTCAGAAAAGAGACTGATTTTATTATTATAAAAATCCCATCCTTACTTCAAGGTGTTTCACAGATGCAGGATTTTCCTTTTCTCCTTTTCCAGGTAACTTTATTCTTGCAACTGTCCTTTATATTGGATTAATCTGGGGACAAAAACTCAGCCAAAGCTACTATAATTATTTAATGCACTAGTCTTTCTTTCTATTTCTCTTTTGTGTGGTACCCTGTACAGAAATGTGGTTAAAATGTCACCTTTGATACTTATCTGACAAAATATCAAAACCTTATGAATGGGTTTTTATGGAAGTTCAAAGTGTAAGTATAGTTTTAAGAAAGATGGTTAAGAATGAAGTTAATTCATTAATTAATATTTATTTACCCTATTTATACCTCGCCTTTCTCTACCCCGAAGAGGACTCAAGGCAGCTTACATATAATAATAATAAATATTAATAATAAACTTTATTTATATTCCCGCTACCATCTCCCCAATGGAGACTCGGAGTGGCTTACATGGGGCCAAGCCCGGACAACATATTACATCAAAATAAAACCAAAACATAAACAACAAGCTACATCATCAAAATAACATTAAAAAACATATGAATACAATAACTAATAACATAGAGACAATTATTCAGTGCCTTAAAACACATAGAATTCCAAAATATTAAAATTAAAAATAAATTAAAATTAATACATACTGAACACTGAAAAACATTACTTTCCATATTAAAAAAAAATCACACCATTCACAATCGTAGTCCAAGCTGTTCCATAGTCATTGTACATATTCCAAAAATCACACCATTCACAATCGTAGTCCAAGCTGTTCCATAGTCATTGTACATATTCCAAATGTCACTGGGGAGGTACATTAGGCATGAATGTCCTGTGTTTGGAGGATATACACAGGAATTCTTGTATATAATATATGGGACCTGAGTTACCCCACTTGTACAATGCAAACTTGAATTTTCAAACTGAATACAAAGATATGGTGGCTGAAAGAGATGAAGATTAAACAAAAGCCTCTTCTATCTGTAGAATCATGTTCTATCAGCTGATCTCAAGGCATCTAGTAAAAGAGTTGTCTGCTGGCAGAACTGCTCTGCAAGTGAAGATTTGCTCAGGGAAGAACTAAAATGTGGGTGGTATGGGAAGGGAGGAACCTTCTTATGCCAAAACTTAGGGTTGCCAGGCTAGGAACATTTCGGGCCCTGAGTTTTCAGAGGCCACACCCCAAGACCAAGGTTTGCCCTAGGCAATGTTACAGGGGGAAAGTCCTGTTGATGGTATTAAGCATGCTACCTGAAGCATCAACCACATTTTCTCAGAGCACATCATTCAGATAATAAACAAGTCTAACACAGATAAGAAAATTGGTTTTTTTTTCTGTCTAGAAATTTAGTTTTCCGTGTTCTTAACTGAAAAGAACATACACACACATTTTCCATAGATGCGTTTGTTACACCTTGACATGGACTAACTTTAAGGACATGTAGTGGTTCAGTCAAAGAACATTTTCTAAACTGTGGTCTGAACAATCTACAGTAACTGTGTAAGGGTGTATCAGTATATCCTGAATCCTAATTGTAAGCATTGAGTAAATCTATTGAATGAATTGCTGAATGGTAAATTTACACATAGGTAAATTCTAGTGATTCAGTAGGTCTGCTTTCATCAGGCTACCAACAGAGTGAGAGCCAGTGTAATTTATGTCTTTTAGACTTCAACTCTGGAAAGCCAGGGTTCAAATCCCCACCCAGCCATGGAGACTCGCTGGGTGATCTTGGGCAAGTCACACTCTCTAAGTCTTAGAGGAAGGCTCTGAATAAATCTTGCCAAGAAAACATTGGGATAAAGATTACCATAAGTCAGAACTGATTTGAAAGCAAAAAACATTAATAGAATTCAGATCAAATTTTGTATGTCTTTCAAGCTCTCAAATTCCTCATCCTAAGAACAAGACAGTCGAGGCCCTGAGATTCAAGACCAGATCCAGATCCCAAATTCAAAGCTTCTCTCGCACAAGGATATAGCTACAATGCAGGGCCAAAGACTGAGTGAGGCTCAGTAAAGCTTAAGATAGTTGGAGGCTTGGAAGCTGTTCTAAAATATAGGCGTACCCCTCGTCACATATGTGAACAGGTCTGAGAACAATGACATAGAAATGTATTAATTAAATAAATGTAGTCTAGCATGCAATAGACATCATTCTATGGGAATCCATTTTCAGCACCAAAATTGCATTGAGTATAACTGAAGATTGACTCAGTATCTTAAGTAGCATCAGGAAATTTAGAAGGAAGTGACTTTGGAGGGAAAACGGAAGGAGAAGCAAGGCTCTGTTTTTTCATTCAGCACTTGGGTCCTAGCCAGCAAAGGCTCAAGAAATTGAGCTAAATCACTAATAATCCAGCCTTGTCTTTGCAAGTGATGACCTACTCCTTGTTTTCCCATAATGTTGGTGTCCAGTTGGGAGGTACATCTCAGGGTGGTTTCAGGCAGCATGCTTTAGTCAGGGCCAAAAAAAAAAGAAATGGGGACCTGGGAAGATGTCCAGATACAGACCTGTTGGTCCCAGGATTTCTGCCTCCGTCTTCCACACTTGCTGCTTTGTCCTGGGATTTTTCAGCCCCCAAGATGGCCACCACAGAACATCCGCCGGAAACTTAAGCGGTTTTTTTATAAAACAAAATTTGAAGATGCAAATATGCGAAGATGCAAATCGTTGCAAAGGCTCCATTCTTTGTCCTGGCCAGAGAAAATGTGCCCTTCACACGTTTCATGAAGCTTCTGGCAAAAAATTAATGGGGTATGACCACTTCTGTCCAAGTCAGCACTACACTATCAAACAGGAATAAGCACTTTCAAGCCAGGAATAGAACTTCGGCATTATTGACACTTTTTAAAGATTGCCTGTCTTGCCATCTGTGCAGACAGATTTAGTTGTGTACTTGTGGCATGGAACAACAGGGAGAACATGCGGATCAAGAATAGACCTCCACAGCCACCTACAAACCCACCGCCAAGACACTAGACTTGAAGGACCATCTTCCTTGAGCTACAATGGATCACCTAAGTAAGTACGTAAGTAAATTGGACTACAGCTCCCAGCATTCCTCAACATTCGCTCTGTTGGCTAAGGCAGGTGGGGACATGCTGTCCAACATTACCTTCCCTTGTTTTAGGATCACTTAAATTGACTGAGGTGGCAAATCTGTAGCCAAAGCCATTGTCAGTTGGATTGTGCCCAGCAAGATAATCCAATGGTCTCATTCATCACCAAAAAGCAGCTATGTATGAAAATCAAGCATGTTAGACAAAGCAAAGTAAAGCCTTAAATATAGTTCCAAAGAAAAAAATATTTTCAAAAATAAGAATGTGAACAGTGATCTAAATCCAGAACGCAGAACATAATTTTCCCCTTTTTGTACCACTTGGTTGTGGATTTGGCTGACCTAACTGAAATGTGACCGGAGGCATTTGGTATTGCTTTGGAAACTGCATCAACATACTTGAACTAATGTCACACATACAGGGAAACTGCTGCTTCTATTTTTAAAATAAGAACTTTTTTAAAAAAAATAACCTTGAAAGTTTTTCTACGATTGGATTTTTTGTTTCCAAGTGAACATGGTGCAGCAATTTCAGAAGCAGCAGAAAGAACAAGAGGTTAAGCAAGGTCAGCCTATTTTTTTTAAGGTATGGCTTTTTTTTGAGTATATGTAGAGATAAAAGGGAACCTTTGGCATTGTGGATGGTTTTACACTACAGTTCCCAGAATACCAGATAGTCACTGTAAAGGATTATGGGAGCTGAAGTGTAAAACATCTGTAAGGCCAAAGGTTCTCCATCCCTCATGTAAGATCTTGTAGATCAGTGA